GGGGGGGGGTACGATTAACCTGAGACTTTTTATTGTCCGCCAGACTGTAGCAGGTTAACCACGTGGTGCTTTGGCAGGATTCGCTCCAGCTGGTTAAGGCCCCGTGCTGGGGAAGTGCTTCCATGCAGTGGGTGTTAAATGTACTTAAAGATTTGGCCAAGTGTGGTTTCCTGGGACCAGCCTAGGATCCAAAATCGATTGTGAGCTGTCCTTCAGAGCAGGTGTGGCGAGGCGGCGCCGTTCAGTGTCCAGGAGCCGGGAGGAGAGCCCGACCGCCGTGCCCTGGGTGCGGGGAGGCCGCCCTCAGCCACCGCCTGCCTGGCCTTGTTAACAGGCTCATCGCCCAGTGTCAGGGAAAAGAGCACGTACCTTTAAGAGCATCTTAACTTTTGTGAAGTGTGATGTTTGAAAACAAGAAAGGGAAATGGACCTTCATTAAACAGTTTTTTTTTTGTTTTTTTTTTACTTTAAATCTTAGCGTACTCCAGAAACTGGGGATAGTGCCGTCGGGTGGCAATTACTACCAGGTAAGTCTTGCTTTGAGCTTCTTGGCAGGTGCGTCTACTCACCCGGCCACCTGGCAAGTTCAGGTGTCGGCCTGTGAGCCGCACGTGTGCTTTAAAAAGGTCGGACCGGCTCCCCTCCTACCTCGTTGCCGTTTCTAAGCAGACGCGGTCTCAGTGTTGCTTCCTGGATGTGGAGCATGAAGGGCAGGGCTCCTTAGACCAGCAGAGGAGAAGCACAGAGCGCTTTCCAGGATCGGACGGGGCAGAGGGAACACGCGGTTTGCAAAGCATTTGGTTTTGTGACAGTTGTTTGGGGAAGAAGCAATTTGTTTTTGTTTCCTTGATGAAACTGATTTTTTTTGTTTTTATGATAAAAGCATAGAAACTGAAACGTGACCAGGTCTTACTGGCTCACAGCCCCTTTGGCTCCCGGCCACACCACCCCCTCCTGTCCCCTGTGGCACCACTGAGCCTCCGCCCAGCAGAGAGACCGTGTGACCACGGAGCCTGACGTTTTCACGCTCTGGCCCGGTACTGGCTCCGTTTGCTGTCTGTCACTTTAGAGAAGCATGTCCCATTCTTGGAGCTAGTTTTATATCCATCACAGGTGTGGGTGAGGTTTAGTCACCGCTAGTAGCTGTGGTCCCGGCACCGTGGCTGGGTAGAGTGGGGCGTCCCAGGGGCCGTAGTCCTGCTCCATGGTGTCTGTGCGGCTGGTCCAGTGCGTCTGTCTCTCCCCCCACCGAGGGCGAGGAGAGGGGCCGTGACCTTAGGAACAGAGTATGGCTGCCCTCTGACCATCCTTCTAGGAAGCCCTGAGGAAGTGTTTGCAGGGCCCCTGGGTTCACCTGGATTGACGTTCCCGTAGGTGAGGGGATTGTGTTACCTCCTTGCCCTGAACTTGGCTTCAGTGATGATAAAGCAGAAGTAACAGGGTTTCGGAGCCCTACCCCCATGCTGTGAGCACCGTTGGGCATCAGGACCAGCATGAAGTGTGTGCAGACATGGGAGGTCCTGGCCACGAGTCAGTCTAATTTATCATCAGGGCCTTTTCTGCTCCTGCATCCGCCCCCAGGCTCCGGGTGCAGACGGGAGCTGTGCAGAGGACAAGAGTGTGAGATGGTGGCCTGGTGGGTGGAGGCCACATCCTGTCCTTGGGTGGGGGCGGGGCTCATCCTCAGCACCTGTCCTGTCTGCCGGCCAGGGCTGCACTCGGTGAGGTCACTGTGGTCAGCTGTGCGTGTCACATCTGAATAGACAGTGCTGGGCTCTCTGTGGGACTGTCATTTCTAATGCACTTCATTTCGTTTCAGGTTTCAGACATCAGAGATGCCCTCGCCAGCGTGTACGGAGTCATCCCCAAGGTCCAGTGTCTTCCCCCAGAGCAGGTCGGGTGCTGTTTGCTGACCTTCTTGTCTGTATTGAGGAGACAGGTTCCACGTTGCCGGCAGCTTTGTGCTCACGTGGACTTCCCAGTGTGTTGCTTGCATGTGAGAGCCACGTGTGCACGTGTGGGTACACATGTGGGTACACGTGGTGCAGGCACGTGCTGTGCATGCGCTGGTGTGCATATGGCACGTGCCACGGGTGTGCTGTGTGTAGAAATAACCTTGCCTTTTGGCTCGATGCCAGGACAGAGTTTTTCTCACGACTTATCCCTACCCAGAATGCACCTGTCCTGGAAGGGCCGGCGGGCAGGACATCGCTGTAGTTGAACGTTTCTGGGTTAGAAATGTTTATAGCATGAGCCTCAGTGACTCATGGCTGTTGCCTGTCCATCTTATGGACGAGTTGTGATCTGTCAGTTGAGGGCAACTTGATTTTTTTCAGACCAGGAGGCTGGTTTCTCTATGAAGCCGTCTGCTCCCAGTGTCGTGGGCACATGCACGTGAGCCGCTGTGTCCACACTGCCTCTGGCCTTGTGTGTGGATTTCTAAGTGAAGCAGCCTCTGGGTGGGGACTTGGGGTCCCTGGCCCAGACCAGCATTGGAGGGAGGGGCTCGTTCCTGGAGCCCGGGTCCCAGGCTGGGAGCCGCCTTGTGTTCAGGTTCTGAGCCGTCATGACGTAGAGCTGTGAGGACGATCCCAGGTCCGAGTTCTAACGCGTCTTTGTCTCTCGTGGGCAGGGCCAGGAGGTACAGATGCTCGGCCAGATCGAGCTGTGCTTCACGAAGGACCTGCAGCTGCGGAACTGCACGGAGCCCGGGGAGCCTGGGGCGCTGGGGGGCATGCCATGGCCCAGCAGGAACCTGGAGGTGTGTGCGGACGGCCCTGCCTTCTACCCCCCGCCCCCCGGGACCAGGCAATGATGCTACAGTTGGAAATCAGCTGTTTTGAATAGTAAGAGGACTTCACAAAGCATCGCTTTAAAAAGGCAACTCCATAGTGGAGCCTTGTGTGTGCAGGCCTGCAGTGCCAGCTGCTTTGCTTTCCATGTTATGAGCGAGCGAGCAGACTTTGTAACAGATGGAATAAAGGTGCATTTTCTTTTTCCCCCTTTATTAATGTCTTTGGCATCTTTGGAAGATAAGGTGGCACCTTAGCATCTGGGCAGATGGCTTGGACTTGGGAGGACTCCCTGTTGTCCCTCTGAGTGAGCTGCTATCTGGGCGCAGGGTGGCCTTGGGACCTGCTCTGGAGCTGGGGGTGTCCCCACCTCCTTCCTGAGGGTTGACGGTTCTCAGTCCACGAGGCCAGAGGTGATAAAACGTTCACCCATGGCGTCTGGCATGGGCATAGGCTGTCTGGGGGCCAGCCCCGGTGGGTTAGCTTCTCTCCTGCACTGAAGCTGTGTGGAAATCGTGTCCCTAGACGGGTCCATGTCCCCGATGACCTCGCTGTCCTCTGGCAGCTCCTGACTCACCTCACAAAGATTGCTGCTGTTTCTTTAGAACCAGTTTTGCAAATACCTGGCTCAAGGCTGGGGTTTAACGTCACTATTTTCAGGCTAGCCAGTGAATTTGAACAAACTTCCTATTTGAATTGCATGTATTTTTAGCCCTGGAGAGTCATGGACAGCAGTGGTCTGTCGATGTCCCCACACACCCGTGCACTGAAATTTACCTTTCCAGTTTCTTAATAAGCAGTTATTTTTAAAAGATATTTATTATACTAGTCTGGGTGTTTGTTGAGGGACTTAAACAGGAGGCGTCATGGTGGGAGGGATGGGCTGTGGAGTGAACCCCGGGTCATCTAGGAGCTGCCGTGGGGACCCGACAGAGTAGAACGTGGGAGAAAGTTTAGCCACTTATTACGCCATCACCGTCCAGTAAGTGCTGGTGGCTTTTTGTCAGCATTTGTTTTGGCCCCGAGCACAGCGGCAGATAGTAAGTACATACGTGGTTGATCGAATCCCAACGTCCAAGGCCCTGCAATGAGCAGTGGAGATGCAGGAAGGAGTCTGCACCCCGGGGGGTGGGCATCTGACAGTTCAATCCTCACAAGCTTCCCAGCACTGCTCACTGAGCCGCGGCTCTGCCTGGGTGCTTCCCGCAAACGCGGGGCAGTGACCCCAGGGCCTTGAGCTGGCTGTGAGGTTGGAAGGGCTGCAGAGAAGAGCATCTGGGGAGGCGGATGTGTGGTTGGAACAGAAGGGGCATCAGCAGGACAGGCACTGCCAGCAGGAGGGCCACAGGGCGGCACTGAGGGCTCCCAGGGCGCATCCCTTCTCCCGTGAGTTTTGCGGGAAAGAGGAATCCTCACCTGGGCCCAGACAGAGGTGGGGAAACCGAACACCATGCACTAAAGTGAGAAAACAGACGCTGTGAGGCCCTTGGAGACCGCCAGCCCCTGGTTGGCAGGGTGTTCCTGAGCCCTGTGGCCTCAGCAGGCGGGGCTCACGTTGCAGGTGGTTTAGCTGCCCATCACGCAATCACCCGAGACTCGTGCACGTGGTCACGCCTGAGGTCCTCGTGTGTGCGGTTACCGTGCTCGTGAGCAGCTATCACATTCAGATGGTGCATTTTACCTCCTGTGGAAGCCTCTCCCACCTCCGTCCCAGTGACATCACCGGCCCCACCCTGATCCAGGTAAAAACCGCAAATCTCACCTGGAAGTTTTCTTCATTCTATTTCCCTCCTTCGTGAAATGTATTTCTTAGCTCGATCCGTTTCCCTTCCGTCGCTGACTTAGGCCAGAGCCTCACGTCGTACAGGGACCACGTGCTGCCTCCGCAGGCCCGTCATCACCGCAGCCCCCGACCCTGGGTGTGCGTCGCTCTCCTCACGGCAGCCTTGTCCCTCTGCTGGGTCCCCGCTTCTCACGTGCCCGGCCGGGAAAGCTCACCGGCTCTGGAACTGTGTCTGCTCTTTCCGTGGTGGTTTCTGAAGTTTGACCAGGAATATAGAGAATTTAATCCAGGCCCCAAGGCAGGTGAAAGTTGCGCCGTAAATATTTTTCCAAATCCAGCAACGTTGGCTAATTCACCACCTCAGAGGGCGGGGGCATGTGGATGAAGTAAGAAAGCTGCATCGCTTGCAAGGTCTGGCCTGAGATTAGCGGGCATCACCCCGATTTTAAGTTGGCATCGGTGCTTCTGGGGGGAGATGTGGCCTTGTCCGTGGGGTGCGCTGGGCTGCTTTCCTCATGGAGGTGGGTAGCTGAGGCTTCCTTACTGAGCAGAACCCTGGCAGACTGACAAACGCTGTGGCTTCATACGATTTTTCTGATGGGAATTTTTTTTTTTGGGTAGACCTACGGGACAGAATTCGCGTTGCGGGCTCTGATGATCAGGTCGGGTGGTTAGGAGCAGCTCAGGCCTGTGAGCCTGTCACCCACGAGCCCTTTCCCCGGGGAGCAGAAATTCTGCCATCGCTCTTCCTGTTCACATTTTTTTTTTTATCTTCACCCAAGGATATTTTTCCCATTGCTTTTCAGAGAGCGGAAGGGGGAGGGAGAGAGAGAAACATGGATGTGAGACACACCCCGATGGGTTGCCTCCTGTACCTGCCCTGACCAGGGCTGGGGGTCGAGCCCAGGTCCCTTCAGTCCGCAGGCCGACGCTCTGACCACTGAGCTAAACTGGCCAGGGTGACACGAGTGTTATTTAATTCTCACAACAGCCCTGCAGGGTGAGATCTTTGCCATTTTACCTAAAAATGGGGTAGGTGATTAACCAACTTGCTCAGGGCCCGTGAGGCTGACTTGCAAAACCACCAGCTGGGCCCACTTCCTGTGAAGCCAGAGCCAGAGCCAGAGTNGCCTGTGAGCCTGTCACCCACGAGCCCTTTCCCCGGGGAGCAGAAATTCTGCCATCGCTCTTCCTGTTCACATTTTTTTTTTTATCTTCACCCAAGGATATTTTTCCCATTGCTTTTCAGAGAGCGGAAGGGGGAGGGAGAGAGAGAAACATGGATGTGAGACACACCCCGATGGGTTGCCTCCTGTACCTGCCCTGACCAGGGCTGGGGGTCGAGCCCAGGTCCCTTCAGTCCGCAGGCCGACGCTCTGACCACTGAGCTAAACTGGCCAGGGTGACACGAGTGTTATTTAATTCTCACAACAGCCCTGCAGGGTGAGATCTTTGCCATTTTACCTAAAAATGGGGTAGGTGATTAACCAACTTGCTCAGGGCCCGTGAGGCTGACTTGCAAAACCACCAGCTGGGCCCACTTCCTGTGAAGCCAGAGCGAAGGAGGCTGAGCGAGCAGCTGCTGCTCCGGGCGTGGCCCCCGCCCCCCGGCCGCGCTCGGTGCAGACAGCTGGTGCTGCGGAGCTGAGTCCACGATGCCATCACATCCTGCCGATGCCCAGCATCCCCCGACTTTCACTTTGAGGCTGAGCCTTTCATAACTCTCCTTATGAAAGGAGGAGTTGGTGGGGGCCCCCCTGGGGTGGGTGGCCCTTTAAACCGATGCTTTGCTGAAAGCGCTTCGAGTTTGCCACAAGGTGCACAGCCCCAGGGTGCTTGGTGTGCCCAGGGCTCCTGCGGACACTGCCCGGTCCCCTCGAGGCAGGCGCGCAGTGCGCCCCAAAGGGCGATGAGAAGGTGCTGAGCCTGGGGTCTGTCCCAGCTGGTCGGTGACCCCAGCCCGGAGGGACCCTGCTGGCTGGAAATGCAATTACTGAGCAGTTGTTTTACATCAGGGCAAATCGGGTTTGTGATGACACCTTTTTCTGTTTCCCCGAGAACGGGAAGTGGTGGTGACTCGGGTCTCGGGCTGGCTGCTCGGGGCATGTGACACTGCCAGCCCTGCAGTCACCACATCCAGGCAGTGAGAACTGAAGGGAACCGCGACCCAGGCGGCACCGCCACCTGTGTTCTGGGGACAAAAGCCCTGGAGACAACGTGAGACTTTTTTGAAGCAAAATATAGGTGTCCCCAAAAATGTACACACACTGAATGACTATAAAGTCAGCGTTTACGAACATACAGTTCATTTTCAACATTTAAAAGAATCTAAAGAAATGAATGATTTTTTTGGTCGACGCCTGTTTTCTAACAGGTGACCGTTCTGGTCCAGGCCCTGCTGACAACGCGAAGCAACGGAATCGCCAACATCGGGAATCATCTCCTGCGGCATTTGTGCTCTCAGTGCATCGACTTGCGGTTTTGTACCATAAGCTTTATCTTCTATGTGTCCCCATTAAACAAAGTCGAGTGGATAAATTTTCTTTGTTCAAAGCTTTATCTGGCTTCACCCATGATTTCCAATCATTTGACCCTGAAAAGGAGTGAACATTAAGTGACTTATTCGCTGTTAAAGTGTGTGTACCTGTTTTCAAAACACCCTATAGTTTCCTGGTTGTGTCCTGTTGGCCTCTTGTCAGTTCTAGTCGCCTTAAGTCTTGAGTTCGAATTCGACCACTGTCCCCGCCTCTCTCCCTCGCAGGGGTCGGGAGCCCAGGGCCACTCCGCTGGTCACTCAGTTCCTTTTCCAGAGCCGGCTGCGTTTGTAGTTTAGATAATAGGGCTGCTCACTGCCCC